CCCCCCCCCCAACAACAACAACAACAACAACGCCGACGGCTCCCGCTCGAGACTTCCTCGCAATTCACTGAGGTTTGATGGAGTCCTCCACTGGGGCCCCGGCGCTCCCCCCCACGCCCCTACGTCCCCGCGCCCCCGCCCCCCCAGACACTCAACCTTATAGGGGTGCTACCAAAGCTGTGTGACTCCCTTTAGGGATTTTACCAGAGCCGCGTGGATCCGTCTAGGGATCCTACGACAGGTGTAGGGATCCCTATAGGGATCCAACCACAGTTGTATGGATCGTAATAGGGGTCGCTCTACAGCTGTATGGGTCCTTATAGGGATCCTTCCGCAGCTGCATCGGTCCTTATAGGAATTCAATTATATTCGTATGGATCCCTAAAGGGATCCTACCACAGATGTTGAGCATCCCTACAGGCGTCCTACCACAGCTGTATCGGTCCCTAGATCTTACCACGGTTGTATGGATCCCTACAGGGAGCAGGCTGTATCTGTATGGCTCCCGATGGGGATCGTGCCACATCTGTATGGATCCTTACAGGGATCCTACCACAGCTGTGTGGACCCCTATAGGGATCAAACCACAGCTGCATCGGGCCCTGTAGTGATCGGACCACAGCTGTATGGATCCTTATAGATATCCTCATACAGTTGTGTGGACCCCGATACGGACCCTGCCACGGCTGTGTTGGTCCATAGGAATTCAATAGGGCCCCCCATAGGCATTCTATAGGTCACCATAGGAATTCTAGATGTCACACCATAGGAGTTATATCGGCCTCCATAGGAATTCTATAGGCCTCCATAGGGATTCTATATAGGTCCCCATAGGAATTCTGTAGGCTTCCATACGAATTCCATAGGCATCCATAGGAGTTCTATAGGCCTCCATAGGAATCCCATAGGCCCCCATACAAATTCTATTGGCTTCCATAGGAATTCTATAGGCACCCATCGGACTTTTATAGGCCTCCATGGGAATTCTATATAGGCCCCCATCGGAATTCTATAGGCCTCCATAGGAATTCTATATAGGCCTCCATCGGAATTCTATAGGCCTCCATCGGAACTCTATAGGCCCCCCCATAGGAATTCTATAGGCCTCCATAGGCATTCTATATCGGCCTCCATAGGAAATCTATCGCTCCCCATAGGAATTCTATAGGCCTCCATCGGAATTCTATAGCCCTCCATACGAATTCTATATAGGCCTCCATCGGAATTTTATACGGATCCGTGTGGATCCCATACAGGCCGTATGGGATCTGTGTGGGGTCCCATACAGGCCGTATGGGATTTGTATCGGTTCCCATACATGCTGTATGGGATCTGTGCGGGATCCCATACAGGCCGTCTGGGCTCTGTATGGGATCCCATACAAAGGCCGTGCGGGACCTGCGTAGGATCCCATACAGGCCGTATGTGATTTGCATAGGATTTTTTAGGATTCCTATGGATATTTAGGATTCGTAGGCATTCTATAAATTCCTAGGAATCTCGATTCATCTTTAGGAACCCTAGGACATCTCAGGAATCCATAGGCATTCTAGGAATTCCTAGGAATTTCGAGGACTCATAGGAATCCTAGGAATTCCTTTTGAATATTTTGGATTCCTAGGAGTTTATGAATTCCTTGGAAGCTCTCGGATTCCTTAGAATTCAACGAATTCCTGGGAACCTCTAGGATTCCTAGGAATTCCAGGAACCCTAGGAATTTTCAGAATTCTTGGGAATCTCGAGGACTCCTATAAAGGATCCCTATGACTTCTATAAATTCTTAGGAATCTGTAGGATTCCTAGGAATTCTAGGAATCCCCAGGGTTCATGGGAATCTATAGGATTCCTAGGAATATTTCGGATTCCTAGGGATCTGTATGATTCCAAGCAATCTCTAGGATTCCCAGGAACTCCTGGAATTCCCAGGGATCTCCAGGAATTCTTAGGATACACATGAATTCCTAGCAATCTTTAGGATTCCCAAGGTTTCTAAGAATTCATAGGAATCTTAAGGGTTCCTAGGAATTCCTAGGAATCTCTTGGACTCCTAGGAATTTTAGGAATTCATATGAATCTTGATGATCCTCAGGAATTCTAGGACTTCCTATGAATCTCTTGGAATTCATAGGAATCATATGAATTCCTAGGAATCTCTAGGAGTTCTAGGAATTCGTAGGAATCTCGAGCATTCCTAGGAATTCCTAGGAATCTCTAGCATGCCTAGGAATTCTGAGAATTTCTAAGAATATTTAAAATTCATAGGAATTCTATTAATTTCTGATAAACTTTAGGATCCCTAGGAATTCCAAAGACTCCCCCGCAGCTCTGGGATTCCAGAGATTCCTATGGATTCCAGAGGTTCCTAGGGATTCAATAGATTCCTCGGGATTCCAAAGATTCCTAGGGATTCAACAGATTCCTAGGGCTTCCAGAGATTCCTAGGGATTCCAGAGATTCCTATGGATTCCCGAGAACCCTAGGGATTCCAGAGATCCCTATGTATTCCATCGATTCCTAGGGATTCCAGAGATTCCTAGGGATTCCAGGGATTCCTAGGGATTCAATATATTCCTAGGGATTCCAGAGATCCCCTGGGGGTTTTAGAGATTCCTAGGGATTCCAGAGATTCCAAGGGATCCTCGAGATTCCTAGGGATTCCTGAGATTCCTAGGGATTCCAGAGATTCCTATGGATTCCAAGGATTCCTATTGATTCCAGCGATTCCTATGGATTCCAAAGATTCCTTGGGATCCCAGAGATTCCTTGGGATTCCAGAGATTCCTCTGGGTTCCAAAGATTCCTTGGGGTTCCAGAGATTCCTAGGGATTCCAGAGATTCCTCGGGATTCCAGAGATTCACAGGGATTCCAAAGATCCCAAGGGATTCCAGAGATTCCTAGGGATTCCAAAGATTCCTAGGGGTTCAAGAGATTCCTAGGGATTCCAGAGATTCGTAGGGACTCCAGAGATTCGCAGGGATTCCAAAGATTCCTATGGATTCCAGAGACTCCGAGGGATTCCAGAGATCCCGGGGGATTCCAGAGATTCCTAGGGATTCCAAATATTCCTAGGGATTCCAGAGATTCCCAGTGCTTCCAGAGATTCCCAGTGATTCCAGAGATTCTTATGGATTCCAGAGATTCCTAGGGAGTCCAGAGATTCCTAGGGATTCCATCGATTCCTGGGGATTCCAGAGATTCTTATGGATTCCAGAGATTCCTCGGGATTCCAACGATTCTCATGGATTCCAGAGATTCCTAGGGATTCCAAAGATTCCT